GGCACAGTGGCTCACACCTGTAATCCCAGTACTTTGGGAGGCTGAGGCAAGCAGATCACTTTAGGTCAGGAGTTTGAGACCAGGCTGGCCAACGTGGCAAAACCCCGACTCTACCAAAAATACAAAAATTAGCAAGGCGTGGTGAAGCGGGCCTATAATCCCAGCTGCTCGGGAGGCTGACACAGGAGAATCACTAGAACCTGAGAGATGGAGGTTGCAGTGAGCCAAGATCGTGCCACTGAACTCCAGTCTGGGGGACAAAGCGAGACACTATCTCAAAAACAAAAACAAACAAAAAAACCTATTTTAAGAACTGAAACTATAAAACCTTAAGAAAAAAAAAAAAAACAGAGAAAAAGGTCTTTGACATTAATCTTGGCAATGATGTTTTGACTGGGACACCAAAAGTACAGACAACAAAAGCAAAAACAAAACAAAAGCTGCTGTACAGCAAAGGAAACAACAACATGAAAAGGCAGCCTATGCACTGGGAGAAAATACTTGCAAACTATATATCTAATAAGGGGTTAATAAGCAAAATACATATGGAACTCAATAGCATTCAAATGAATAATCTGATTTTAAAATGGGCAAAGCATCTGAAGAGTCATTTCTTCAAAGACATAAAAATGGCCAGCAGGGATATAGGTGGCTCAACATCACTAATCATCAAGAAAATGTAAATAAAAAGCACAATGAGTTATCTCACAGGTTAGGATAGCTTTTATCAAAAAGACAAGAAATAGCAAGTGGTGAAGTTGTAGAGAAAACTGAACATTTGTACACTGTTAATCAGAATGCAGATTGGTGCTGCACTGTGGAAAACAGTATGGATGCTCTTAAAGATAGAACTACCATATGATACAGCAATCCCGCTCCTGGGCATGTGCCTAAAGGAAACAAAATCACCACCTTGTAAAGATAACTGTGTTCCCATGTTCATTGAAGCATTATTCACAGGAGCCAACATATGGAAACAACCAAGGTGTCCATCAACAGACGAATGGATAAAGAAATGATGCCATAATAATTTACATACATACCATGGAACTTCAGCATTAAAAAGGGAAGTCCTGCCATTTGCAACAACAGGGATGAAGCTGGAGGAGGACATCATGTTAAATGAAGTAAGCTAGACACAGGAAGAAAAATACTGCATGATCCCACTTATATGTAGAATCTTTAAAACAAACAAACATCAACAACAACAAAAACAGTAAAATAGTGGTTACCGGGGTGGGGGAAATGGGAAAAGGTAAGTCAACATTGCAGTTATGTAGGATGGACGAGCCTAAGAGACAACATGAGGGCTTATAGTTAATAAAATTGTATCATATACTGGTAATTTGCCAAGAGAGTTGATTTTAGGTACTCTTATCACACACACGAGTATGTTATGATGGGTATGTTAATTTGCTTGACACATGGGTATGAGTATGTTAATTTGCTTGACCTTGATATACTATATATATCAAGTTTATCAAAACATTGAACATATTAAATATATACAATAAAAAGAACATAGGATATAGATATGTATATAACAAAGGAAGGGGAAAAATGAAAATAAAGTTTTATTTGATGAAACAACAAAAATATGTAGAGTTCTTTTTCTTTTTTTAGAGACAGGATCCCACTATATTGCCCAGGCTGAAGTACAGTGGCTATTCACAGGTGCGGTAATAGTGCATTATAGCCTTGAACTCCTGGGCTCAAGTGATCCTCCTGCCTCAGCCTGCCAAATAGCTGGGACTATAGGTGCACACCACTGTGCCTGTCTCATTTTTGATATAAATTCTTAAAACAGGAATACATGGATTCCTGATTAATAAAAAAAATCCAGCATTATGCTAAATCAAACAATGGACATATTGTTTAGGATTCAGACAAGCAATTTTACTCTCACCATATTTAATATTTTGGATATTTCAGAGCATTTAAACAAGTGTAAAAATTAAGTAGCCAAACAGTATTTTTCCAGGTATATCGAAGGAGTTGAATAAAAGATATTTGCCATAATTCAACAAGGTAGCTGAAATCAATAGCTTTTCTATACACAACTAGTTACAAAGTATAGCAGAAGAAAAATCCCATTTCCAACATCCAAAAGACAAACCTTTAAAAATATGCAAGACCTAAATAGTAAAAATTTGAAAACTGAGACACACAAAGACCATTTGAACAAATGGAAAAACATATAGCCGTTTGTGACCAACATGGTAAAACCCTGTCTCTACTAAAAATACAAAAATTAGCTGGGCGTGGTGGTGGATGCCTGTAATCCTAGCTATTCGGGAGGCAGAGGTTGCAGTGAGCCGAGAACACACCACTGCACTTCAGCCTGGGTGACAGAGTGAGACCCCATCTCAAAAAAAAGACATACAGTCATGTTTTTAGATAGAAGCCTCTGTATGATTAAGCCTGTTCTTATTAATCTATTTATTTAACTTGATCTCAATAGAAGTACCAATTTCCCCTCAAGAACCAGACAAGCTAATTTTAAAGTTCATATTGGGGAAAAAAATGCAAAAAAAAAAAAAAAAAATCCAGGAAAATTCTGAAAGAATGAGAAAAGTTTAACTTCCCCTTAGCAGTTATGAAAAATATAAATATCCAAGTACTGCAACTTAAAACTACAAAATAAATAAGACAATAAAAAATAAAAATTTAGAACTGCATTAGGTACATGAAAATCAGATCCTAGAACAGAAATAGGTTAAAATTCATATAGACATTTAGTACTAATATGGGTGGCATTTCAAGCGTTGGTGCATAGACTTCAGATGGATCAAAGAACTCTCAAACACAAAGAGACGTGTTAAAGATTCATATACATAAATACATAAAAGTGGCCAGGTGTGGTGGCTCACATCTGTTATTCCCAGCACTTTGGGAGGCCAAGGCAGGCAGATCATTTGAGGCCAAGAGTTCGAGATCAGCCTGGCCAACATGGCAAAACCCCATCTCTACTAAAAATGCAAAAAGTTAGCCAGGTATGGTGGCACATGCCTGCAGTCCCAGCTATTCAACTTGGGAAGGTTGAGGCATGCAAATTGCATGAACCTGGGAGGTGGAGGTTGCAGTGAGTCGAGATCGTGGCATTGCACTCCAGCCTGGGCAACAGAGTAAGACGCTGTCTCCCCTACTCAAAAAACAAAAAAAACAAAAACAAAAACATTCATATACATAAAATTGTGCTTGGTAAAAAAAAAAATTCCATTAACAGGTAAAAACTGCTGGACGTGGTGGCTCATGCCTGTAATCCCAGGAGTTGCCTTTGGAGTTACCTTTGGGAGGCCAAGACAGGGCAGATTGCTTGAGCCCAGGAGTTGGAGACCAGCCTGGGCAACACGGCAAAACCCCATCCTACCAAAAGTTAAAAAATTAGCTAGGCATGGTGGCACGCACCTCTGGTAGGAAGGCTGAGGTGGGAGGATTGCTTGGGCCCATAAGTCAAGGGCTGCAGTGAGCTGTGTTCATGCCACCACACTCCAGCCTAGGCAACAGAGCAAGACCTTCTCAGAACAAAACACAGCAAAAAAATCAGATAGAAATTAAGATAATCTGGGACAAAACACTTTCAAACTTCTAACTGTAAAACTGCATGTATAAAGTACTAGAGCTCTTTAAATAGGCAAAGGAGACTACAAATGGCTAACAGATTAAAAAATAGTCTTAATAGAAATGCAAATATAAGCTACAAGGAAAACACCATTTTTCTATTAGTTTGGCAAAGGTCAAGAAGTTTCTTGGCACAAGTATGAAAAAATAGACATCTTCATCCATTGCTAATGGGAGTATCAATAAACTCCGGATGACAGTAATTGCAGAATACCTTTTTACTCAACTTCTAATAATATATCTTCTAGAATCACAAATGTCCATAGATGAATATAAGACTGTTCATTACAGGCTTTTTCTTTGGTAGTAGCAAAAGACTAGAACAATCTGCTCACTAGGTACTATTTAAACAAATTATTACATATCCATAAACTGGAATACTATGTAGCTACTATTAGAAAAGTACGTCATCAGATAAAGACACATGGTTCAATAAAAATGTAAGATGAAGAGTGCCTATGCTCATTTGCTTAAAAATGCAGGGTGACAAACATAGCAGTTGTGCTAATTTATGCACATATTTTAGGAGAATACACATAAAACTGGCAAATAGCTGATTCCAGGGAGGAGATGGACTGAGAAGGGATCCCTAACCCCCAGGCCGTGGTCTAGTACGGTCCATGACCTATTAGGAACCGGGCCGCGCAGCAGGAGGTAAGCAGTAGGTCAGAGAGTGAAGCTTCATCTGTCTTCACAGCTGCTCCTCATCGCTCACATTACCACCTGAGCTCCCCCTCCGGTCAGATCAGCAGTGGCATTAGATTCTCATAGGGAGTGCAAACCCTATTGTGAACTGCGCATGTGAGGGATCTAGGTCGTACATTCCTTATGAAAACTAATTCCTCATGATCTGAGGTGGAAGTTTCATCCTGAAACCATCCCCTGCAACCCTGGGTCTGTGGAAAAAACTGTTTTCCATAAAATCAGTCCCTGGTACCAAAAAATTGGGTACCGCTGCTTTACAAAGTGAAATTTTAAAAAGACGTTTTACCTGTTTTTAAAAACTTAATCCAAAAGCAAAAGTAATTTAGATTCAATGCCCGTTTTAATGTTTGAATAGCATAGTTTCTTTGCTATGATCAAATGTTTTGAGAATCAGTCAAATGCTATTAATTCAGAATCAAGTCTGACATTTCTGAAATAGTGAAAATTAGAGTATATAAATTTGAAAATGTCAAGTAATTTTAATGAACATTTAGCAATATGAGCAGAATCTGTGCTATTAAGTTATACAAATCCAAGGCTTCCCTATTTAAAATAGGAAAAAAATCACTGTAAATCTTTCTAGCGATATTTGTTGGAAGAAAAAAAAGTCAACAGTTGGTTATAAGAGTGAAATGGCTTATACTGAAAGTAAGACACACAGTAGATCCTATTTGTTCATTTTCATAGGTAGCTTTATTTGGTTTTTAGAAAAATATATACAATAATCGGAACCTCAGTTCTTAAATAGTTTTAAATTAAAAGTATACAAGTAAGAGGATATGTTTCCACAGTCAGAACATCAATACTGCTTAATAATGTAGATAGGAATTTCTGCAACAAGTCAAAACATTTACAGAACTCAGGAAGAGCAGCTTGTGGCTGGCAAGTCAGCCAGCTCAGAAAACAGGTAGGAGGGGAAGAGGTTTGATCTTTCCCCTTTAGTGTGAATTTGAGAAAGTGATGAAAGATTTACATGTTCACGCATCCTAAAGGCTAGAGCTTTCAATAAAAACATTAGAATGTAGGGGCGGAGGCCCTCTAGGGCATATGCTAACAAGCTAACTTAGATCAAACAAAAATTTGCCATCTCAATTTGGTATTCAGTTGGATTTGGATATATTAGGATTACCTGTCAGTCACAGTTCAACTAGTTCAGATACAACAAAACTCAAGGATTTGGAGTATTTGTTAATGACATTTCTTTTGGATCAGACTCCTGCTTTCTCTTGAACATTCTTCTTAATGAATTCACAGTATTCAGTGTTTGCAAAAGATACTTGAGTTTGACAGCCCTCTGACTTTACATCGTTTTGAGAAGTTGCGCAAGGAAGCAATAGGAATTGCCTTAGCTTTGTGCCAACTCGGCCCTTTTCCCCCATACTGTAGTAACTCCAGGCCTACTTCTCCAGTAGTATAGCTCTTCCCTCCACTGGTCCTTTTCAGGGATTGAAGTCTAATCAGTGCGCCAGCCAGAGGCCAGTTTGTCATGGGATTTCCTGGGGAGCTTAAATGGAAGTGGATCAGAGAACTGATACCAGTAGCCACCTCCTTTCCTCGTTGTATGCATTTGCTAAATAAGCAAAGCAATGAGGCAAATGTCACGAGCAACGTCAGGCTTCCAAGTCTACAAACACTTGTCTGAATGAGAGAGAGGTGATAGGCAATAGGCAAATTAGTAGTAGAGCTAGAGGTTCAATTAAGAATGAGAGGAGAGTGATCGGTATTTTGTTCTCTGTTCATCTATTTCCTGCTTAGTTTTCTTGATGCAACTAAAGATCTCCTTAAACAACGCTTTGTATTCTGGAGGTGTTGTAGGGGAACTGACGGGCTCTGGGTTGACAGAGGCCAGTTCCCAGCCGCTGGCAACAGGCTCAGACTGGGCGTTCACTCCAGTCAGGTCCTTGGCCGGAGCCCTGGAGGTCTGTACAGCCTTGTGTGACAGGGAGTCCTGTTCCTGTTGGCACTTCTTCAGCAGCTCTTCATACTTCACCTTCAGGGCACTGTACTGTGTGTCCACTTCGTGCAGAAGGGAGATGCCCCTCTGTTTCACAGCCTTGGCCCTCCTGATGCAGGTCTCCTCATGGCCCTTCACGATGTCACTCCCTGCCAAGCTGCTGAGGATCGTCTCACTGCTGCTGCGCTTGAGAGGCTTTCTATGTGGTTCCGGCACAGTCAGGAACATCTCTTCCAGCAGGCTCTGGCTGGGTTCTTTGAAAGGAACAAACAGAGAGTCTGGCACCAGCTTCTCAACCCCATTCACAAATGGATGCTCTGACTGCAACATCTGTCGCATCTCTGCCACCTCAGCCTCTAGTTCCAGTGCCCGTGCTCGGTAGGCACCTGTGGCCCCCAGCTGCTGCTCCAGTTCACTGTTCTCCTTTAACACCAGCCCATATTCCTCCTCCATAGTCACCCGCTTCTGCCGCTCCAGGCTCAGCTGGGCCTGCAACATTGTCACCGTTTTTTTCAAGTGCTCATTTTCCTCTTCATCAGGGCTTGGCTGACTTTGCAAGGAAGTGATCTTCTCAGCGAACACATGATCATACACGAAATGTCTAGGGGAAAAAATATTGAAAGAATGTATTACACAGGTCCACTGAGAATGAAGTGAGGAAGACTGGTGATTTTTTTTCAACTAAGTAAATTTGAGGAGCTGTGACAGTGACTGATTTTTTTCTTTTTTTTTGAGATGGAGTCTCACTCTGTTGCCAGGCTGGAGTACAGTGGAGCGATCTCAGCTCATTGCAACCTCAGCCTCCCGGGTTTAAGCAATTCTCCTGCCTCAGCCTCCCAAGTAGGTGGGATTTTAGGCATGCGCCACCATGCCTGGCTAATTTTGTATTTTTAGTAGAGACGGGATTTCTCCATGTTGGTTAGGCTGGTTGGTCTCCCAACCTCAGGTGATCCTCCTGCCTCGGCCTCCCAAAGTGCTGGGATTTACAGGTGTGAGCCACTGCACCCAAGCCGACAATGACTGATTTTTAGCCACACTGGAGCAGTGGCTAAAATGGAATTGTGTGAGGCTGGTAAATAAACACATGAAAGCAAACTCAGTTTTTGCGATGAATCTTTTTTTAATGTTGAAAGTACTAAAGAACATCTATTCCCAAAGACTGGCAGTATGCCAATGACCTCACAAGGGAAACCTTAAAAAGTACTGGTGCCTGGGTCCCAACCCACAGATTCCAACCTAGTTGGTCTGCTGCCCAGCCTGAGGGTTTCTAAAGGCTCTCCAGATGATTCATAATACATAATTACGATTGAATCACTACAGCAAATTACTGTTGCTGTGGTGTTTAACCAGGAATGTTCATCAGAATTGCCTGGGCAGCTTTTTACCCACACCCAGAAATTCTGATTTAGGCCTGAGGGAATGTGTTGGTATCTGCATTTTGAAAAACTCCACAGGTGATCTGATGTGCAGCAAAGGTTGAGACCCACCAAATGAACCACCTGGTTTCTCCTGCTCAGTCCAAGGCACCTTGCTTGACTATTTATTTGTGTTTTTATTTGCTTATCTGCCGTTCCGTTAGACTGAAAGCTCACAGGGGTAGGAACTCTATTCTGCTCACCAGCCCTCAGGTCTGGCATAGAGCTTGCCATACAACAAGTGTTCCATAAATACTTCTTAAAGATTCAGACTTGTAACTCTAAATTATAAAGGTACTTCTTTAAGCAAAAAATCTTCTGTTTGCTTGAATTTTTGTTTTACCAATATTTCTATAGTCTATCAGAAGTCATTCATCTTAAACTATGATTTAACACATTAAAAGCCCTGAAATAAGTGCTCTAAGACTTTCAAAATAAGAATTACTAATATATAAGAACTGTGTAATTTATATGTTTAAGTGATTTTGTTCAAAACCAATGGTAGCTTAATAGCTAAGTGACATTTCTTAAAATGGTACTTTCAATCTACTGGAATTCAGAATGTGCCAATGACATGAGACAGTCCCTGCTGTAACTCCACAGACAGGTAGGCTCTTACTGGCGGAGATCATACAGCTCCTTCAGACATGCAAAGCTGGGTGCCGGTTTCTCCTGGTCACACTTCCCCTGGCTCCTTCTCCCTCGGCCAGATGACTTCAGCTCCTCCACTTGGCTCTGCAGGTGATCAATGTTGGTTTGCAGGCATTCAATCGTTTCAGTCAGGCTGTAAGGAACAGACAGAAGCCACTGCTGCTTGTCATACTGAATCAAGGGCAAAAGCGGTGAGGAGAGATTAGATGCGAGCCACTCACATTGGGCTTTCTTAATTGGAAAGGACATCTATTTAATCTCCATTCTCCAGAAAGAATTAAATTAAACCTTATCCCATATTGACCTAAACCCACTGCAGCCATGTTCTATTCTAGTTTATACTAAAGAACTTCCCGCTAGGCCTTCCTTGTCAGATTCTAGAAAATTTACCTCAGAATCTTTTGCTGTGAGGCCTTGCTGTCAGCAACTAGTTTTTGATTTGTTTCTTCCAGTTCCCTTGCTGTGACGTCTAATTGTTCATAAACCTTTGCATGTTGTTCGTTCATCTGCCGTAGAAGCTCCACTTGCTTGGTCAGATACTGTAAGAGAAGATCAGGACCAGGTGACACAAACAGATAAGATACCTGCTGTTCCTTGGCTGGCCATGGTGGCTCATGCCTGTAATCTCAGCACTTTGGGAGGCCGAGACATATGGCTCACCTGAGGTCAGGAATTCGAGACCAGCCTGACAAAACATGGTGAAATCCCGTCTCTACTAAAAATATAAAAATTAGGCAGGTGTGGTGACACATGCCTGTAATCCCAGCTACTTGGGAGGCTGAAGCAGGAAAATTACTTGAACCCGGGAGACAGAGGTTGCAATGAGCCGAGATGGCGCCATTGCACTCCAGCCTGGGCAACAAGAGTGAAACTCCATCTCAAACAAACAAACAAACAAACAAAGATACCTTCTGTTCCAACACCAATTCTCTGATTCTCAACACCAACTCTTGTTGGGGTGGGGCTGGCATACAGTCTCCATCTCTGGGCTCACTGTCCTCCCAGCACTGCCCAGAAGCTCCCTTAGACCCATTTCAATTTTCTCCAGGCCTTCTCACATCAGCGTGATTGATTCAATTATTGGCCACTGGTGACTAAACTCAATCTCCAACCCTTCCTTCTATCCAGAAGTTGTGGGGCTGGGACTGATAGATCTAACCCTCTAATTATGTGGTTGCTTTCTCTGGTGACCGGACCTCATCCTATCAGGAAACTCCAAGGGTTTTAGGAGCTCTATGCCAGGAACCAGGGACAAAGACCAAATATATAATTTTTATTATACCATATGTTTATTTTAAGAAAAGAAGAAATTAAACTCCCTGTCTTCCTAAGAAACGAGCACAGGCTATCCTTTATATGCTTAGCTCCCTTAATGCTCACCAATACCCCACTGCATTGTGAGGCTAATTTGCCAAAGCATATACCATGCATAAAATTAATATTCAACCAAAAAATCTAAAGTGAGACATAATAATCCCTTAAGACAAAAAGCATGGAACATGTGATCAAAGTTTAAGCAAAAACATCATGTTTAACAGAAATAAAGCCTAATGCGGAGGATTTTTGTTTTTTTAATTATACTCTAAGTTCTAGGGTACATGTGCACAATGTGCAGGTTTAATACATAGGTATACATGTGCCATGTTGGTTTGCTGCACCCATCAACTCATCATTTACATTAGGTATTTCTCCTAATGCTGTCCCTCCCCCAGCTCCCCAGCCCCCAACAGGCCCCAGTGTGTGATGTTCCCTGCCCTGTGTCCAAGTGATCTCATTGTTCAATTCCCACCTATGAGTAAGAACATGTGGTGTTTGGTTTTCTGTCCTTGTGATAGTTTGCTGAGAATGATGGTTTCCAGCTTCATCCATGTCCCACAAAGGACATGAACTCATCCTTTTTTATGGCTACACAGTATTCCATGGTGTCTATGTGCCACATTTTCTTAATCCAGTCTATCACTGATGGACGTTTGGGTTGGTTCCAAGTCTTTGCTATTGTGAATAGTGCCGCAATAAACATACGTGTGCATGTGTCTTTAGAGCAGCATGATTTATAATCCTTTGGGTATATACCCAGTAATAGGATGGCTGGGTCAAATGGTATTTCTAGTTCTAGATCCTTGAGGAATCAATCGCCACACTGTCTTCCACAATGGTTGAATTAACTGACACTCCCACCAACAGTGTAAAAAGCGTTTTTATTTCTACATGGAGGATTTTAACTTGGAAAAAAGATCACTTTCTTTCTCTGAGTGAGGCATCCTGGACCAAAAAAAATGAAAAGTATGTTGCTTTGAAGAGAAAGATATGTCAGCTTAATATGCTTCAAAGACTCCTGTTATTTTTAATTTTATGAGATTTTTATCACCATTATCCTCCTTATTCACGAGAAATTTATCAGATGATTTATTCTGGTCCTGCTAAGACTGCCTCCTAAATGGCCAAGGATAAAGGGGAATAATTCCAACCTTAACGCCGCAGTGTAAGTCACCTTGACTCCCTCCCCTGCTCAGCTCTAGCTGAAGACACTAAAACACAGTATATACTCCAAAGGAAATAATCACAGTATTTCCCTGGACAGAACCAGAAAGGGGGGAGAAATGGTTTGAAGCTTACTGATGATTAAACTGTAAAAGACTCAGAACTTGACTTTAAAAACACTCTTCTTGGCCAGGCATGTGGCTCACACCTGTAATCCCAGCATTCTGGGAGACCAAAACAGGCAGACTGCTTAAGGCCAGAAGTTCAAGACCAGCCTGGCCAACATGGCAAAAACCGATCTCTAGTAAAAATACAAAAATTAGGCTGGCGTGGTGGCACGTGCCTGTAATCCCAGGTACTCAGGAGGCTGAGGCATAAGAATCTTTTGAACGTGGGAGGTGGAGGTTGCAGTGAACCAAGATCGTGCCACTGCACTACAGCTGGGGCGACAGAGGCTCTGTCTCAAATACAACACAACACACTCTTCTTGAGGCTTTTTCTACAACTCTACAAGTATCTGCGAGGCTAACAAACTGAAACAATGGGCTAAATGACACTCAACGGGCCCTTAAAGTGCTGAAAAAAGCATATATGGCTTTTTTTTTCAAATCCACTTATACATAACTCAGCAGCAAAGGGTTGAACAAACACTTAACCTAACTTCAACTTTTTCATCTGAAACTCTTGGGGTCAAAAGTGTTTTGGAAAATTCTTTAAATTTTAGAAAGACAACATGGCGCTCATACCTGACACGCACCTGACACTTTATAATACCACCTGTGAGGTCTGGGCAGCACCCTGTATCGAGCCATCAAATTTCTGCATCAAAAAGTATGAACTAAGACTATAAACAGCCTTACACCAGTTCAGGTAAAGATCTACTACCAAATGAATCTGTTGTAAATTTAAGGGGAAAAGAAAATCTTACTTTATAGAGCTTTTTGGGTTCGGAATGGGTAAGTGGTTATGGATCTGTTAGTACCTACCATGTAGAACTGGAAGAATTAAATGAGAGGTGAGCACACAGCACGGTCTATAAAAGCCTGTGTGTAATCTTCACTGCCTCAACTTCCACCAGCTTCTTCTGGTCCTTTGGAAATCAACCACTAATTCTCATGAGTGAAGCTTTTTCAGAACTAAATCCTTAATCCTGCCCTCTGGCTAGTAAGGCCATAGTAGGTTCTTGTCATTGATGGGAACATGTTCAATCTCTTAGGAATTGATGAGATTCCACAGAAGTGGAAAAAAGGCTTAGAATCACAAGAATACATACATAATAGCTGCAGAAATTTTTCAAGCTTCTTTGTATCAAGTATAAATTATCAAGTATTCTTTAGGACTCAGAACTACCTTTAAAAATGCTAATGTATAAACCAGACATTAATTTACTAATATACAACAGGAGCTGTTCCTGCCCAGTGACAATAATATTCATATCCTCTATATAGGACACAGCTGCCCCACAAAGGGCATGTGAAAGGCCGATTCATGAATCGGAGTCTCTGGTAGACATAGGATCAGAGGAGTCTGATGGGAGGCAGTGATATCCTAACTAAGAGCACAAGCTTTGGGGTCAGAACCTGGTCTGAGGTTTTGCTTTGCTGTTTAGAACTGGGTGGCCTACAGCAAGCACATTTTTCTTAGGTGAGTTCTCCTCATCAACCCCATAAGGCTGTGAAGATAAATATGTGTGTGGCAGAGACTGGACTATGTCACCCTAAAGCATGCGTCTTTGGCATAAAAAGGTTCCTGCCTCCTCCCTCTCTACCAGGGAGAACAAAGGTTAACCACTAACATCTTTAGAACTTTATGGGCCAGAAGACAGCATCAGAGGAATCCACACTAACAAGCTTTGCTAAGGGGCCTTTATCACCACTTATTTGCCTTCCCACAAGTTCTGCCCTTAGACAAAGTCCTTCTCCTTTGTCTTGTTACTTCTCTAAAAATTGAAGATACTAAATAAGCTGGAATTCAAAGCCACCTTTGAGAATTACTCATTCCCTGGGTATCTCCCACACATATATATGAAATAGCTATGTTAATAAGTTTTTCTCTTGTTAATATGTCTTTTGTTACAGGGGTCCTTTCCAACTTAAGCGCTCATGAAGGTTGACGAAAAAAAATTTTTTCCTCCCTGACATATACAAATATATAATTTACATAAAGGTTAATATATGTAGAGAGTTCAGCATGAGATCTGGCAGATGGTAAAATTGCTCAATAAGGAGGAGCTACTGTCATCTTTATTTAAAGCTACAGTTTTCAAACTTCACATGTGCTAAGATTCACCTGGAAGATTTATTAAAGTGTAAGAACCTGGGTCTCTTTCCCTCAAAAGGCAGAGACTGGAGTAGAGCCAGGATTCTGCATTTTTAGCAACAAACCCAGCTGATATTAGTACAGGCAATCCACAGATCACACTTAGAGAAATGTTGATCTTGGGCATGGAAAATCCTGGAAGTCCCTGCCCTGACCAATGTCCTTTTCTCTTGGGTCTAGGAGACACAGGCATTCACTGGATCAATGATGACTCTTTGGCTTAATGCTCACGATCTCCCTGCATAGGGCTCAGCTTAGATGCAGTTATCCACTAAGATTAGGTTATATTTTAACTGTACCACAGTAGCATTCTTCATCGTTTCATTTTGTTATGTTCTTACAATCATTAATTCCCTGAAATTACAAATTAGTCACCTTAACCTTGCTTGAGTGATCCTTCCTGACTTCTCAGTCCACACAACTACTGAATTTCTACAGATGGCTAATTTTATCCACTGCATTTTAAAACTTTCTATTGTGGACCAGGTGTGGTGGCTCATGCCTGTAATCCCAGCACTTTGGGAGGCCAAGGCGGGTGGATCACTTGAGGTCAGGAGTTCGAGACCAGCCTGGCCAACATGGTGAAACTCCATCTCTACTAAAAAAAAAAAAAAAAAAAATTAGCTAGGCGTGGTGGCACACGCCTGTAGTCCCAGCTACTTGGGAGGCTGAGGCATGAGAATCGCTTGAACCCAGGAGGCAAAGGTTGCAGTGAGATAAGATCACATCATTGCACTCC